GCTTGCTCTACACGGAAGAGGACTTGGAAAAAAGTATGGAAAAAATTGAGGTATCATTTTCCCTTTATTTCGTTCAACTTCTTTCTCTCCAGCTGGAATTGCCATTTTTCGTATTTCACCTAAAAATCGGTGCTTCTTTAGGTTGATTTTTCGTTTCTCTTATAGAAATTATGTAATTTTTAATTTTTCACTAAATTTTGCTTTTTTCCTGTGCTACATTGTTTAGTATGGCGAAGCCCCTACGTTTATTTGAGCAGTTTGTGTAGTTTTAAGGTCACCCCAAAAAAGTATTGGATGTCCTGTAGTGAGAGCTTTCAGAATGTTAGCTCAACTTAGGCATCTAGATGTCATCGAAATTCTGCATGTTTTCGTTTGAGGTGATCGATTTTCACGAGCAGAAAGAAGTGAATGGTATTAAATTTTGGTGCCATGTGGCGGGTCATGTTTTGGGTGCATGCATGTTCATGATCGAGATCGCCGGCATCCGAATCCTCTACACCGGTGATTTCTCGAGAATCGAAGATCGGCATTTGTGTGCGGCTGAGTTGCCATCGGTTTCGCCGGATGTGTTGATCTGTGAGTCGACATATGGCACGCAGATCCATGAAAGTCGCGATGAAAGGGAAAAAAGGTATTTTGCATTACTCAATTTTTCTACAAGCGGTAAACTTATGCATTTCTGCATACTAAATCTGCGAAATCCTGAAGTTTTCAAAATTTGTGTTAAGCACAAGTTACAACTGCGACGGATTCTCGTCGAGGTTGAAAAGCGCCGTAAGCCTGCAGTCGTCTTTTAACTGTCCGATTTCCGACTTGTTATTACGATTGTTTATTTGGACTAGCGATTTGTGCATAGCTGTCCTTGTCAATATCAGTTTGTAAGCAGTTATTCTTGCCAAGCCGGCAGGCACGGCACAGTGTGCTGTAGGCGAAGATTCGACTCTGCCGGTGGAGAAAACCAATCCCTCTACGATTCGTTTCGGTGGTAAATTGGATTAGACTTTTTTGTGACAAAAAAAATTAAATTTTGTCAACCAAAATAGACAAAGGAAAAAAAGGAAACTCAAACATGAACAACAAAAACACCTAAGAAATGGGCAACAAAAAGCAAAAAGCAAAAAAAAAAATTAGGACAATCAAGCTTTTGATTTGTACTGGAGCTATAATTCCAGATGCAACAAGTTAGAACCTCAAAATTTATGTTTACGAACTCATTTTTAAGTCCGGGAATAGAGGATCCGGGTTCCCGTCTTTCCTCAGTGATCGCAGCTACCTCCAATTTCCTGCTGAATTATGCTAAATCAAATTGGCCCATACACGAGTACCGGTTTACTGAGGGTTAATGAGCTTTTTTGAATCCTGGAGATATTTTCATGCAGTACTTTAAAAAACATTTGGTTTCAAAAAAATTTCTTTAAAAAGCAAAAATTTCAAAAATTCAAGGAATGTACGTGGATGAAACATTTTTTGTTCAGACAGCTTGCTTTGCTATAGATTTTGAGACTGATTTTGCAGTTCGAATACATTTAATAGAAAATTCTTACTTTTAGAAGTAATTCGAGCACTTTTTTATACTGAGCATTTGAATCATGGTATATTTCGTTGTTGCATCATTTCGTTGCACCGGAATGCCGTTGGTATGGCTAGAACTGGTGGCCTGGTTTCCTTAGTTTGGCTGAACTGGCGGTATTCTCAAGCGCCACCATTTAAGGCCATCCTGATTTGTTTCTCTGAGGTCCAGCTGAACAGTCCTGTGAAGATTTTCCAATCTGTAATTATAGAACAGCACTGTCAGCCAATTTCAAAACAGTCCTGGGTATTTTTTTCTTTAAATAATATGGGGC